GTTTTATTTGAATAATTAAGCGAATTTAGCGGAAACTCTGGAGAAATAATTAAGTTGGCTGGCAGATATTTAGAAGGAATAATGCGCAAGGCTTTATGGTAATGGGACAAGAATACTATAATATTAGTACCTGTGTATTATAAATGATAGAAACAATGAGACGATCAATGAACAATTCAATTCAATTTAATTCAGCTTTTAACTGACATTATATTATATATCCATATTTTTTAAAACGTATTTAGGCTGGTATTCTTTAAATACTCATACATAGGGTTTTATATTTAAAATATTTCACATGAAATATTGAAAAAGATATTTTTTTACGTTTGAGATAGTGACTGTCAAATGTCATTTAATCAGTTTATATTGTATGATATCGTTCGGTACAATGTTGGGGTTTCCTATTTAACGTGGTATAGTCTATCAGCTGCCTATAAATAGGTAACGACCATAGATATATTTAATATTAATTTATAAATATGTAGTAACGATAAAACCGGCGCATTATTATTGATAACAGCTATTTTTATGATAATATTCGTCTAATAAGTAATAGTTCTAATCGCATATGATTTATTTTCATGTTACTAGTCAAGTTTTCTGAAGTGTTTTCAGCCATCTAAATTTTAATTTCTATACTTTCTTGAGTATACTAATGAGAACATTATACTTCCCTAATTTATGATTTGTTTAACTATGCAAAGGAGCTTATTTTTATTTTATTTAATTAGATTTATTTAATAACATTATGTTTATTATCTTTTATACATATATATTTATTTTATTTATTATTTGTATATAAATAAAATTCAATATTGTACTCCAATATTGAACTGTAATTTTCATCTATCTTTAAAAACATTTCCAGATGCTGGTATAATATTGTGTATTTCACAATATTGTTAAATAAATCTTATAAATATGTGCTTAACTTTTAAACTCACTAGGTACTAATTTTTTTGATAGGAAACTTCTGCAATAATATGATAGCTGATGAGTAATGGGACTACTGGCAACTTATTTATAAATTTATCTATATTTTGTAAAATGTCTTTAGGTGTTTCAATGACTATTGGTCTCTTACCTCTTAAATCAATATTTATAAATTATAATAACTATAAACTTATATGTTAATTTATATAAATTAGTTTTTATATCTATTTAGTAAAATTAATAATACAAAAAATGTTACATAAAGAATAAAACATGAAGCATTATATTTTTACTGAAATGAAACAGAAATTTTATTTTCCACTCAAATTATATTTCATGAAATTTTACAACCCTACTGGTATAAGATTTTTAACTCGACGAATATCAAATATTTTTTTAAAATTATTTTAAACTGGAAAATTTTCAATATTTCTGTACAGAGCAAAATGTTTGATATTAAGTAACTTATTTCTCTAATTTGACCGGCAACTCTGATGAGTTATTTTCTAAAACATTCGGAATATATTTCAAAACTTTTAAAATATACAGCTGCGGAACTTGAAAATCGCATTAATTCGAGAAGTATTGAAAACCTTTCCGTTAACAATATGCTCTCTATAGTATTACCATAGCAGAGATCTTGCTAGTTTAATAAAATTATACAAAAGTAAATTGCTTTGCACGTTTTCACCGTACATACGTATTTCGGAGAAAATCTGAACCGGCTATTGAATAAGTTGTCGGTTAACTTCAGGGTTCGGAATGCGTTTTTTTTTTTTTCAGTCTTCCATACCCTTGGCGCGTACAACTTCTATGGTTGTTTACCGTGACTAGTTGTTCGCTTTGTACACATACAATATAATTATTATTGATTTTTCCGTCCGAAGGATATGTGATTGAAAAACAAACAATACGACGGCGTGAAGGACGGGAATTCCCGTGCAATAAGCATAACGTGGTACAGCGACACTGCAACGTTTTCGGGACTATCGCAAACGCGCGCAAGGTACGTATACAATTATGGAATTATACCTACAAATTTAACTTCATCGTTTATACGGAAATTTGAGATTACCATGGCACGCACTAGGATCACGAGCATGTACACGATGTTATGATATGTGATTGGTACTAAGCATAATCCGACTGGAATATTTTTCAGGGCATTGGCCGTACCGCAAATCTACCCCGGTGCCAGTAACGGAGGAATTCGAAGCACTAACGGGACACAAACTACTGCCACAAGTGATCGGTACGGAAGCGTAGCCCATGCCGAATGGCAACCCCAATCGATAATATTCGCTATGGTGTTCCACGCAAAAGCGTTTTGTTTACCACAACGAACTGTCGTCTCCGCTTGAGTGTTAAAATTATTACCAGAGTACGGCCGTTTTGGTTCGTGCACATTCTGATATTTTTTAGATCACTGCATATTGAGTACAATTTATGTTATTATTCAAACGGACTCGAATAATCCCAATTTAAATATTTCACTAACAACAATGAATGATACTTACAAAAAAAAAAAAAAAAAAAAAAAAATACAGACACTTATGATTTATTTAATTACAATTGACGGGTATGATAAATTACTCTCGAAATAGGGTATAAAAAAATAATAAAACAAATATTGATTTTCGAAATTTACAATTTTTAGTTATTATTATTATTTTTAGTTAACTGCTACACGCATTTATAAACATAGTCGGAATTGAAAATAATAAATAATTATTAATCAAATAATAAAAAACGATTAACGATTAATAATCTCCGTGATAATTTCGACGATAAAGTATTATTGAATAATTATGGTAGATTCACAGTGCGAGTTATATTTGTAAGTCCATGAAACATTTTCTTTCGACGTACAACTTCGTATTCCATCGGAGTAATTAAATGTAAAGCGGTATCATTTTTTTGTAATAATACGAGTATAACACTATACCCGGGTCGGACAAATATTTATCGAAGGTTACAAGAATACGGATAAAAGGTCCGGGGAAAAAAAGTGTAAAAAAAATACAATTTTATCATTACGGAAATGTAATCGAGGTACTATAATCTATATAATAATTTGAATAGTATATAAAATATGCCTTCGATTCCCGTTAATTTTTTAAAACGCGTATAAAATAACGGATAATGGATGTACGAAACGATATAAAAAGCGGATTGTAGGTCTCTTGAAAAACGCAACCAATCAATAATGAATGTGTACACTGCTGCAGGCTCTAAAAGTTTCGAACAATTAGGGACAGCTGCCACCGTCACTGTCGCGTTAGTAATATTTGACTTTGCGTCTTTAGATTTATCTAATATGCAATGCATTAGGCCTATTGTAAGGCTATTATATTATATTTGTTGTATAGAAAAGAAAATGTATACACGGGCAAATGCGCGGGCACATCATTTCTCATCGCAAACACAACTCACGATGCATGACGGAAAAGAAAACAGAATTACAAATATAAAGCATAACCTTAGCATACGTATTATATTAAATAATACAATATGAACTAATAAATAACATATATTCGATTTTCTTTAATATCATTAAAAATCAACAGCCGCAAGTGGGACTTTTTAAATTTTTTGAAAACGGCTAAATATTAAATGTAAATAATTTTCAACTTTATTATCTAAAAAACATTAATGACTCATCATTATTTTGTATAACAGGAAGTCCAATAAATAACATGCATACAGTGACACTTTATTTTACCATTGTTAATGAATATTGGAATAAGTAGCCAAGGTTAATGAGAATACGATTTTTTCAAATTTATATTAGTTTTCCTTAAAATTAAAATTCTGCAATATGTTTGAAATGAGCCATTTACCATTATATTATCAAGATACACACAGACTCCTTCAGCTGCATAATCTTATCTGAAATGTTTTTAAATTGTCGAGGAATTACTCAAGGGAATATTTATGTACATTATATATGCCCGAGATAATACATAAAACTATTGCATGAATACTTTTTTAATGGTTAAAAAAAATATTATTAGAGTTTTTTGTTTAAAAAAACATCATCCCACAATCGAACACACATTTAGTTTTTATCATAATTTTAACAAGCAAAACAATAAATATTCTAGTGGAACAAACTTGTAAATAATAATATTACGTCGTACATTGTCATCGAGAAAACGGAACACTAAATCACACTTGAAACTTCATGTCACTGAGTATTTTTGTTTCGACAACATTACATTAATACGGACAATGAAATCAATAATTTATAGAATGATAAATGTAAAAATGTATTATGTATCATAATAGTGTATTTTTAATGTTTGCAAGCAGAACGTATAATGTCTACACTTGGTGAACAATTGGATTTTATTTATTTTTCAACGAGACATTTAAAATTAATAATTTCCACATGTCTCGATGAATACGAATAAGTGTAAACAAATTTTAATAAATAAATAATTCACATTCAGCTGATATGCTCGACAATATTTTATTTTTATTTTAACAATTGTGTGTATAATACGAGTGAAATAATCTCAGTTTGTGAAAAACGTTTACAAAAACGAAGTACGTTAATACATATTTAAGTTGATGCTCCCCGCACCGAGTACGGGTAATGAAAAATATAATATAACCACGTAATTGATTAATATTAATGTAATACGTAAAAATAAATACAAATTCGAAATATTCATTTTATTCTTAAATTTTTATTTTATCCATTGATTTTAAACTCAGATATTCATAAATTAATAATCTAATACGTATTTTCTTTTTTTTTTTTTTTAAAAAAAAAAAAGTTTTTATAACTACAGCAAATACAGATAATATTTACGTCATTAATCATTTCATTAAAGGTAACTTTAATTAAACTAATGATGAGAAATTATGCTGTGTTCACTGTGTACAATATAAACACGAATATTCTAAGAGTATATAATGGTAGCGTTTCGTTAATCAAAACGTTAGAATTGTTTAATTGTTTTTTTTTTTTTTTTGTAATTCATACTGCTACATAATAATAATAAAAATAGTATGCGCTTCGGTTGTTCCAAAATTCGATAAAAAAAATTTTTACTTACGAGAAACGATCGAGGCGTGGACAAACAAACGGGATCATCCATTCCGAAATCTTGGCACGAAAACTGTAATCGACCGTATACTTGTATGGCCGAAATGCCGGTTTTTCCCATTTCCAAGAAATCGTATTTGTGAACGCTATCCAAAGTATACTCCACCTAAAATGATTTAAACGCATCGCAATGAATCTTAAAAAAAAATTACTTGCAACGTTGGACGAGAAAACTATCGCGCACTGGCAATACCGCGACGTAATCACATTTTCTTTACGCCGACCGATGCACTGATGAAGACACAAATACAATCAATGTGCTTCTTATTAAATAAAGGCGTTTGTAAATAACACGCGAAACGTCGCAGTATACACATTTATTTATATTAATACACATGTTTTTCCTACGAATATTAATATTAAGTTTGTTGTTATATAAAATAACGTAAGAGATAAACCATCACTTCCGATGTTAAATTTATGCATTCTTCTGTAAGACAGGTACTAATCATCCGAATAACATTAAAAAGCTTCCGAAGCAAATTATTCACACGCAACATATCATTTATTATTTCACAATAGTACTCTTAGGTTATGATAAAATAAAAAATACTTGGACGTACATTTCAAAGCTTACTTAGGTCAATGTCATTTATTTCAATTACATTGAAACTATTTGAAAGTTAATGACGCGTTTATTATGAATTATGAACTACGGACGTAGTGTATTAACGTCGTAACTGTATATCAAATTATTTAAAAATATTTATCGAAGAAAATATTGACAATTTATTCGCAAAAATGAATACGTGTTACGGATTATTAATTTCAGTGAAACATATAATTATCTTAATGAACTTCCAAAATTTCAATACATCACCTTCAATAAATATTTGAATAATTTAAAAACTATTTAATAGCTTATATATTGTGTTCTTGTATAAATTGGTTTAATGCAAGCCACTGACCCGTGGGGGTTTTATTATGTTAATAACAAAATTAGATTTAGTCAGCTTATTAAATAATCAAAATAATTTTTTATGCTTATATTTTATTAACTCTGATAGAATTTTAAAATTTACAACCGTAATGGTTGTTATTTTAAGTTTAATAAAAAGATAAAGTAAACTAAATGTACTTACGTAGATATTTTAAAGTTTATTTAATTAAAAAAAATATCTTATATATATTTATAAGGTTTTCATGGTTTACAGAAAATGGTACAAATTTAACTTATGCTATTAATATAATGCACGCATCATGTATAGCGTATATAAATATTATGTTTATAACGGGTAAAGTTAAAATGAAAGGATTAGATGAAATTATGATGATCGTAAAACAAACAATAGTTATTATATAAATTCAATAACGTTTCTTCTGGAAATAATTCGCTGCTTTTATTATGTAACAAAATAAAAGTAAAGAGTATAAAATTAAACTTGAAGTCTGGCATTGATTACGTGCTACTCCTATAATTTGCACATATATTTGCTTAAAAGATACTATTTTAATTTTATTTATTTAAAATGCTTAACGTTTTTTTGTCCGTCTTTTATAATAAACAAGTTTAATAATTTTTTTCGGATATAAAGGTTAAAATATTTGGAATCAGTGAAAAAAAATTTAAAAAAATACTTAGTGCTGAATACTGGTTTACAAATAAAATATTCTAAATTAATTAAAATTATTATATATATTATATATATTTATAAGGTCCACTGCAGATTTGTAGCGAAGGATATAAATATATTTTGATTTCTATATTAGCACTGCATTTAAAATAAAACTATAAATACTATCATAACCGTTTTTTGGGAACTGAGAAATAAAATATTAACACATTGATTTTATTAAATGTCAATGAAATCGGAACGTGAAGTGTTTGACCAGTGGTAAAGAAAAACAAATATTGATTCTTAGGAGATCTTATTTCTCTCGACTGTAAAGGGTTTTATAGAATTACATACGACGTTTTTTTCTCTACTTTTTAATTTAAATTAGACTTTTTATAAGTAATTTCAAGTACTTCAAACTCGAAAAATTTTTCAGTGCGAAAATTAATATGTTAAAATAATAATCACAGAACCTATAATATCTACTCCGTACTAACGTAAGCGCTTGTAGTGATAGGTTGTCTAAATTTTCCATCACGTGAAATATTTATTTTATTTAAAACTACTGTTGAAAATATTACTTTTCGAATGCATCCCACGAAGTTCGTGCTCGCTTTCGTACCCGGCAGAGCGACCGTGTTCTCACTGCCACCCAGGTATAAATATCCTAGAGGCAAGGAAGTAAACGCACCCGCCGAGCTTCCTTGTTCGCCGTAGACTTCGTCCACTGTCACGGCCAGCTATAATAAATAATGTAAATATATAACAGCTGGTGAGAGAAAGATAAATATACAATTTTTTTTTTCTTCACACCTCCGGTGTGTTGTTCTAAGAGGTCTTATAAATCATATTTGCGCGGGACATTATTATTATTATTATTATTATTATTACCGTGGACCTCGTGCGCATAATTAAATGCCATTGCCACGAATACAAATTTTCTTGCGTTTCACATGTCTTACCTCAGCTGAGTTATTTGCTGCGTCATCTTTACAGTTCAAACCTTTATTATTAAAATGACGTATTGAATGAAAAAGTATAATAATAGTAATAATGTAATCTTAAATAATCATGTAATAAACATAAGAATAGAAATGAGATGCGAAGAATTCGTGGAAATACATCTATACAGCTTTGCACGTTTTCCAGTGACAAAACTACGAATTTCAATCACATTTAATATGGTTTATTATTCTCAAAATGTACGATGTACATTTCTAAAGCTAAATTTGAAGTTCTATTTTAAAATCCAATAAATTAAATGTAAAAATAAAAAAGCTAATGTACGTTTAATTCAAATATATATATATATATATAGATGTTATAATTGCAAATAGTAATTTATTTTAGTTATTACTTTTGTATAATAAATGCATTTAATTTATATTTTCATCAACACTGTAAGTAATAATTGAATATGATAACCTGGTTTATTATCGATTTTTATTGGACTATATATTATTATATTGTTTACGAATAGAATAGATGAATAGACATGGGTATTTTTTTTATTTATTTATTTTATTGGCATAGCGATCAAAAGTCAACGGTGTACCATTGACTTATTAATATACACATACACCATCGCGTAATGTTGAAATTGATAGGGCATACCTGGACGCAGCCACTAGTTGTCGCTGTAATCGTTAACATTCAACTTGATAAAAAAAGAATTACAACAATAGAAACATTCTATTCTATACAGCCACACCAGAAATTTCACTGTAGTTGTTTGCAAAAACTTGTTTTCAATAATAGAAACGATCGATAGTCTTCTATAGCTGAAAATATGTTTTTAACAAGTTTAATGTAAATTATTGCAGCGACGTCTAGTGACTACGTCCTCGCAAAGCGCTACCAATTTCAACTACAGAACGGCGTGTATTATTCTAAAATCGATGGGTGTTCTATCAATAATCTACTATATAAAAATTATACCCGGAGAGAGATAATATATCAAAAATAACCTATTAGATAATATTTCAAAAAATAAGAAATTATGTGATAGCATAATCTTTGTGTAATGTATTATATTGTAGAGAGCACTTCAATATTTTTATATTGACATTATATAATTTTAAAATATACAATTATTTCAAGTATATTTAATTTAGTATAGTTCACAAAACATTGGATATTTTGAATGTTTACGCGTAATTACATACCGTTTGATTGAAATTCATTGAAATACCAAATTTCATTCAAATTTAGTTTTGTAATTCTTATATAATTTTTATTGAGGCTACCTAGTATATATCTCGTATATATGTATATATATATATTTTTTTTATTTCAGTGAAAATCTTATGGAAAAATCTTGTATGTAACGTAATGTAAATTTTGAAGCCTTAACTACAAATATGTAACATAATTTCGAGCTTTTTATCAATTAGTTTCATTGGATATTCAAATGCACTTCGTTGACACCCTTCAAACTACCAACTAGACAATATTTCAAAAATCTCTAATATGATTGTAATGATCAAACCTATCTTGTAATCATGTCTACAAGCATAAAAATATACGAGTATATACATTTCTCCTTTCAATCAAATCGAAAATTATATATTGGTTTAATATTTTGTAATAATTGAAAAAATAGTTAACCACACAGTTTCCTATTGTCTACATTAAAAATATTTATAATATTTATATTTAGATAAAATTAAATTCGTTTTACCATAGTATATATGTTTAATTTTTTTTTTGTCTGTATAGATGATTTTGACCAGAAAGAGTGCACTGTTTATCACATACAAAGTAATATATGGACATTTTATTCTAATTAGTAATTTTAAGAGGTTACATTTTAAATTTCTTAATAGTTTTCCAAATAATTAGAAAAAATTCAAATAAAACAGAATGCAAAAAAACTTAAAATTTCAACCAATATTCGAAGTTCACTGATAAACAGAAATGAACATATTATTTTTTCAAGCACTAATTTTTTTTTTTTATTTTTTTTTTTTTTTGATTCTATATAAACGATTTTGAGCAGATGGATTGTTCTGATCATCAAACTATAAACAATTTTCAATAGAGATATTGTCTAGCTGGTACTATGAAACAGATATTTTTTTTGAATTTTCCAAACATTTTTATTAATAGTTGGAAACACGTAACAAAAAAAATTATAGAAATACGGTAAAAATTGCGGGGTATTGGTTTCAACAAAATCTCATTTTCGTTTTATTTGTAACTCAAAACATAATCATCGTAGGGACGTGCAATTCTTATTGAATGCTAACATCATTGTTTCCTATATTTGGTACAACTTCCAAAAGAAGTTTTTGTTTGTTTTTTTATACAAAATTATCATTTTTTGTTAAACATAAAAACTGCTTCAACCATCTTCTGTCACTCAGAATCATTTTTTTCAAGAGCATACATATACAGGTATATCACGTTTATACAATACATCAATACCATAAACTCATCCCTGCATAAATCTCATTCGACGTGTAGCCTTACCCGACCTAGGAGTATCGCCCTATTCACTTATTCAATTATGACTTCATGAAATTTAATAATCTAATGTTTGAAAAACAATAAGTGTTCATTTCAACGTAAATATTATTAAACATTGCGCAAACTCTTGTAATAATTTTTAAGCGGAAAAAATAATCAATACAAATAATGAATGTTTTTTTAAATTCATATTAAATAGATTAAGAGTATACTTTGGTAAAATAAAATTGTTAATGAAACATCAATTATAAAGATTTTATATTTCATCAATACGAAAATAATCTATGCATTGATTAAATAATTGTTTTAAAATTATTTATCAGTTTTCAACATAAATAACATAAATCTTAATCAAAAATACCTATTTGTATACTTATAAGTAAATAATTTTAATTATGAACGAAAATTCACGAATCTTGTTTTGTATTGAAAAATCATTTCTTTCTTTCTTTATATTGAAAAAATTTAAAATATCGCCAAGTCATTAACATCTATGTATCTATTAGGAAACATTAATGTTATAGCAATAAGACAAGTATGCGGTTTATGCATAAAAAATTTATTCATATTTTTTGTTTATTTATTATTTTTTTTTGTAACGAAATGCAAAATGTATAGAAAATATTCAGAGAAATCTGTAAGTCAGCCACGTAAGTTTTAATCTTATGGTTAAACTTTAAATATACTTCGAAAAAACTTTTCTTTTCACTCTTAACCATTTCATCAAGGATTACATAAATGATAATGGAACAAATGTCCATTAATTAATGAAAGTTCTACTTTTTATGAGATAATACTTTATTAATGACATTAAGAAAATAAAAATATAGAAACACATACCTTACAAAAACTCGTGACAGCTGATATCTGAAAACAAAATATAATTCGAATATTAATAATTTTATCGGATGCTGTAATTTTCTTAGTAATTAAACGTTCATTAAGTATATATTTGTTTGAACACAATTTGTTTAGTACCCTGCATTTATATTACTAAGCCGGTAAAGTTGTTACAAATCATTCAATTATGCATATTAAAAATGTGACCAAAATTATAATGTACAGTTGTTATATTAAACTTCATTTCGTATAAACTTGTGTATACAACTCAACGGATTATTAATTAAAATCATTTTGGTAAAATATTTATAAGCCATAAGTTTATAAGATTTTAAAGGGGTTTTAATGTTGTTAACATAAAACTACACTCAAGAATATTTATTAATATACTAATCATAATGGTATCTAAATAAATTGATTAATTAAATTAATGACATGATAAATTGTCACGTACGCATCGATTATAAATACATGTTCAATATTCTTGTGAAACCCATATACCAGTACTCGCACACGTACTTGAAACGCATTTAAATATGTGCAGAACTAACAGCTATTTACATTACGTATACACATATTAGTCAGTCTATAAAATATTTAAACGCGTAGTACACTTTTTATTTAAAGTATTCGTTAAAATTTAACGATTTTACCGTAACCATTGGACGTTTTTATAAATGTTTACGTTTTAGCAGAGTTACATTAGCGACAACATTTTCGCACAATCACTGTTTCAGATCTTGTAGTATAATATAAATATTATAATTCCTCGATGACTGTATATTACAATATCGTTGATAAACATTTACAATAGATATGCGAAATCGGGTAGTCATCTGTAAATGAATTTCGCACGAATATTATGCAAGAATTACGGCCGAATCGCCTGAATCCTACCAGCGTAACACGTATTACACGCTATGGTTGTGAAACGAAGGTGTAGATTAGATTAGGGTAGCGATACCGGGCTACTTATACAGGCTCGTGGAAGCGTTTTCCAAGTTTCAGACTATTGTTGATACAGTTATCATCGTTATGCTGCGCTAAGTTCTTTAATAAAACAATGCGCGTATTGGATTAATTGAAATTATAAATAACAACGTTATCTGTCTGTCGTGTATTTCACAATACGTTGTGCGAGTTACGTACGAAATTCAAAAGTAAAACTTTTTACGATTCACTGTATCGATATTGTACCCGATTTAAATAACGTCTGTAGCGATATTTTTCACGTACCGATTGTGCAACAATGATATAAAGTTGTGTGTAACACATCATTTTTCCGAGTGTAAAACCGAATAACAAAAAAATAAAATAAATAAAAAGTAAATACGCACTAAAACACATTTTATGATATTATCATACTAATCCGATATCCACCATCGTCATATCATTCGGCTGACAACCACTTACGAAATTAGAAGGTACTTATATACTTTTGACGAATGAACAAACTGCAGTTCGTTTGTAGTAGTTAATGTCTAAAAAGCATTACGGTGGATTAAAATCGCTTACCCCTTGTACTTTTCGCGTGACTGATATCTTGTGCCACTGATTGTCGTCGAACCGTATTCTGTTCGGCTTGATAAACATATCCAATGAACCAGTGCCCACTCGCATCGTTACTGTTATACCACCGGTAACAATGCCCACGTTCAAATAATTACTCGAACCATCTCCTAAAACATTCAATACGTTTTACTGTGTTCGAAACATTTATATCTGTTTCAGTATATTATACCGTGATTTATTAGCCACATTTAACCACGCCATCGATAATAAGTAAAATATACTTTATTATGGATAGATTCGAACCAAAAACTATATACTATATATGTGAACTTTAAACTACATTTCAACGAGTTATGCATATTATGATAATTAATTATAAATTGAACGTTATTTGAAAATAGAAAACAACGGAAACTTTAGTCATCCATAATCTTCAGCTTGGAATCTTTTTTTTTTTTTGATTAAATGTTTTATCAATAATTTCCAATGCTATTTATTAATAATGTACCATAAACATCTGGTACCATGTCAAAAAAATATAAAAAAAATGTACTTAATGTTCCGTTTCTATAGCTTTGTGCAGTTTTCAGTAATTTTATGTTTATTTTTTTTATTTTTAATATTTTTAATGATCATTTAGTAATTATATTATTTATTAAAATTAAATGAAATGGGATTCGAGATTTTCTACGACATAATTTTTCCTTACAGTAAAACAACATTTTTCAATTGCTTTTTTGTTTACAAACCGTATGTTTTATCATAAAAAAAAAAAAAAGTTAATTATGATTGGTAGGCTTCCTTAATTGTTTTTCATTATTATTAGAAATGTTTGAGTATATATATTCAAATATTCATAACCACGCATCAAATATTTAAAAAAAAAGAATTCCCGTGTTATATTTATGTACTACATTATAGTGATTGTTTTATTATATCATTAAAAAATGTTGAACCACTTAGATATTGTTTAAAAATTAATACTTCATGAGTAGCCTAAAATTATATCTTTCAAAATTCTTGATTTAATATATTTAGTTTAAGTATTATTTATATAACGTAGGTATAATGATCAAGTGCGGAAATATGATATTCTATAGGATTATATATTATTATTTATTTTTATTTTAGTTTACATATTTACTTTTACTATGTGATATTTCAACTACACATTTATCGTGTGTTATTTTAATAATAAAAGGAATGTGTGGTTTTAAAAACTTATATTTTGACTGTAAGTTTTGAAAAATTAAAACTTAAGTGTAATATTTGGCTATTGAAAATAAATTATTAAAAGACAAAAAAATATAAATATAAAATTGCAATGTACGAATTTCAACAATGACTAGGGCAGACAAAATATTTGGTAAGATATATTTTTGTAAAATATATTTTTTTTGTCATCTTTATGTCTATTTAAATTCGTGAAACAGTTTAAGGAGTTTTTTAAATTATATCTAATCTTTTCTACTTAATTTAATAAAATCATGTTACTGAATAATTCGGGCGTAAAATAAAATGGCCCTTCTCAGTGTTAACAACCAATTAGAACACATCAAAGAATATACTACGTTGACGAACCAAACAAAACAAAATTATGACAGTTTAAACAACCACCTAGCGTATAAGATAGCCAATACAAACGGTGTTGGTTTACACTGTCAAACACAACGTAAACACGAAACAAAAAAGCCCCGATACGGAGACCAGTATAAATATAAGTGACTAAGGATTCCAGAACATGTCTCCGGTTCCCACTTCGACTGGTCATTAAGAGTGAAATACACGGACGTCACTCTTGATAAATATCTTTCCTTCAACATACACGTTAAAATCCCTATACAAAATGCTTAATGAGCTCGGACAGTCCTCCAATACTTAACCGTAACAACCTCATTCCAGCTACTAACAGCGTGACAATTTTTAAAATTTAAATTACACCAATACACCAATATTTTTGTACACAGCGACGGCTTCATATGTCACATTAATTGGAAAAAATCGAAGCTGTCCAAAACTCACTCTGAACACAACCACCAATGCACATTATCATATCCATAACTTAGCCATCTTCGACTCCACAAACATGGCTACAACACAGGCCCGTATACAGGGGGAAGCTTATGGGTTCAACAACCCTCCCCCCCCGAAATTTTTAAAGTAAATATATATTTATAATATAACAAAAACTAACTACACCCGTCTTTATGTATAAATGTATAATTTTACAACTACAGTTTAAGTATTTGTAAATTTCCCTCTTGTCATTACACGTTAACTGCTTTAGAAAATGACAAACGTAGACTTTTATATTATATATATTATGTTATCGCAATTTTGTCAGAAGATGGACTTAATCATACGAGTATTATAGTTATTTCATTGTCCCGTGTTCGTCAGTATTATTGTTCAGTCTGTTTTTCAGAAGTATTCACTGTTCAGTAATGATATAAAATATAACGTGTATTTAATTTGATTTTACTATTATTATTATTATTTCTTATTATTTCTTAATAAGTGTGTGTATGTGTATTTTTTTACTGTCATATTATATTTTATACATTTTTTAAAAAATGAAACGAAATTTGCTATCTCAGTCATCAATATTTAATTTTTTTTCATAAGAAAACCAATCAAACAGAATTGGATTCAGAATTAATTACTACAGAAGAAGTTCCGTGTACGTCTATTACTGAAAACAGTGCAATAGAAAGTATGGTAGATTTACTAGAACTTCAAGGTATTGGTCGGTATGTAGATGTTAGAATAACTGAAGATACATTTAAGTACGATTTATTAAAAAATCCATGGTTTTTTTTCTTCAAATTATAATTTTTTAATAGTGTCAAAAAGAAAATTAAAATTCCAAATATCTTACCTAACTTGGTTAACACGGTTTTATTGGTTAGTTTATTCAAAACAATTAGAAGGAGCATTATGTAAAGTATGTGTTTTATTTTCTAATGAGTGCACCGGAAAAGGTTCAAATCAAAAAGTGGGTGTTTTAGTAAGTAAAACTTTTATTAAATGGAAAGATGCTTTGGAATGTTTTATATTACATTCTAATGCAGAATACCATAAATTGTCTGTAATACGCGCAGATGAAATTTTAAAAATAAAGGATAATAAAAAACCCAACATATTTATTGCTATCGATTCAGCATATAAAAACATAGTTTTGGAAAATCGTGCTAAACTAGTTCCAATTATTGAAGTTGTGAATATGTCAATAATTGTGTTCAAGTTATTAATTCAATTCATGAAAATAGTGAGGAAGAATTCCACAAATTATTTTTAGCTGTCGAAAATGTATTAAGGTTAGTAGATGAAACGGTTAAAACGCCACGACTAATTAGGCAATCTACCTACCGTAACAATATTCCGGCAGATTCATCAGAACAGTACTATAGGAGATCAACTTTTTTGCCATTTTTAGACTACTTCAAAAGTCAATTAATTGAAAGATTTATTAAACACAATTACATTATTTCTGGTTTGCAAAATTCGATTCCAAGTTTTTCAATTAAATTAAATCCAAGTAGCAATGAAGTTAAAAAATGCATTGATTTTTACAAAAGCTTTTTACCGACTTATGAAACTTTTGAATCGGAACTGAAGGTGTGAGTGGAAAAATGGAAATCGGTACCCGATAATGAACTTCCTAAATCTGCAATCGATACTTTAGACGTCGAAGGACTTTTATCCAAACATTTGGTGTTTAATATCTTGCAACGCTCCCGGTGTCAACTTTATCTGCAGAACGTTATTTTTCAACTTTAAGACGATTAAAAACCTATTTGAGGAATAGTTGCAGTGAAGATTGTCTAACAGGTTTAGTATTATTATTAGTCCACCGAGGTATCCAAATAAACATTGAAGAAATAATCAATACATTTTTCAGGATGCCACGTAAAGTTGACTTTGTTTTATGAATTAAAATTGTAGATATTCATCCATTTTTTTAGACTTTTTATATTTTCTATACATTATTATATTATAATATTTTGTAGTATATAATATTATTAATCAAATTATAATATAATTATTAATTATGTATTTTTAGTTCATGTATTAAAATATTTTAACCCCCTCCCCCCGAAATTTGATCCCGAATAAGTGCTTGCTACGACTTCAGAAGAATCCAGACGTGCAGCAAAGACATTCCAGTACAGATCCTCAACTTCTAAATGCTCACATCTTCAAAATTTAAAATTACAAACTAAACTCGTGATCCAACTTATCCACTAAGCAAAACTATATCTATATGTAAAGAACTATTCACGGAACAAACAAATTTAGACATATGCTCACGCCTCCTACTCTAAATCGGGCTCCTGACCACCCATTTATAGGCAAGTTCCAAAACACACTATTCTATCAATCCTTATACATTCTTTCACCAATTGGATTGAAGTCAATAATACTTTCCGAGGACTAAAATTAATATCATCACATTGTTTTTCTTTCGAAATCGAAGAGAAAAAAGACGACGAACTATAGATCTCCGATATTGATCGACGACGTGCGACTCAGTCATAGCCATCTTTGGAAAAATCTGCCCCATAGTCCACAACACGGACAACGTGATCACGTTTGGAGTAGCAACCGATTACCAATCTGTCTCACACGTCATTTTTCTATGCTTGCTCCGTACACGTTCGTTTTCAACTATTCACTAGCCACACTCTACGGTTTTATTTGTCCGTGTACAGTGTACTTTTATTATGTATGTTTGTGATTTTAATGTATTAAACAGTGTATTAAATAATGCCCAAAATAAAAAAAATATGTTATTTTTTCATTTTTAAGGTCATTTTTGTGGTAAAATGCATTTTTTTAAGGACATTTTTGGCTATTTTTTAGAGTATATTTGTATGGTTTTAAATGCATTTAAATCCAAGCCCTAATCATATATAAATAATATAAGGATTCCTATTGTAAGCAAATAGTTCATTCTTGAATCTCCGCCCGCTTATTCGAACATCGTTAAACATATATCTTCCTGGAAATTTTCAAATAATTATTTTAGATAATACGAACGTGATTATATGTAACTTATTTTAAAAATATTTTTAACACCAAAAGTTCGCATGATATAAAATTGTTTGAAATATCTGGTACACTGGAGCTCCACATTTATTAATAAACCATAAACTAAACTTAAATTTTTTAAAATTTTATAACTTCACTCACTACGTCTACCGGCTTCACTCAAAAAACTCGAGTGCCACTGTGTGATACTTTTCGTGGGGATGGAGCTTCGCCCCAAAGGGAATCTAAGCTTAACCTAGTTTTTGTACAAACCTTGATACTGTCATTATGAGATTATGCTTTGTATGTGAACCTATAAACCTCGCTACGCGAGTAAATCACATATTTCGATAATTAATAAAAATGAATGTAGGATAATTGAATGTAACCAAAAAAATATTTTTGAATTTATAAATAAAATAACAGAATTATATAATGAAAATAAATAGATAGGATGAACACGTAAATATAATTATATGTCATGCAATTTTTTCTAGTTAATTATTATGATTTGAAAAATATCTTTTGTGGAGTTACAGTGCTATTTTATAAAATGGCGCCGATTCGTGCACAGCTACAGTGATCCCGATTATATAAGTTGTATTAATTTATTTTACGAAATTGTGTATTCTATTTTAACTATACTAGATCAATTAATTACTTGTTAACTGATCTAATATTAATAGTTTCTTCGTGATAATAGTAACTTAGAATGTTTAAACAATATATTTATAATGCATATTTTACAATAAAACGTGGAATATATAAAAAATCCTTACAAACTTTTTATTTATTTTTTTTAAATATTTTCAATTCGTAATTTTATTTTATGATAAATAAATTTGGTAATACTAATATAATATGAATATAAAATAATGAGGGGGAGTGAGGTCAACTATACCTCCTCATTTTAAGTTTCTCAAACTTAAAATAATATTCTATGAAAAACCTTGATATTAGATATAATAAAATACAGAAAAACAGATAATTTGATATGAAACTTTTTTAATATTTCCAAAAGTCGTTTATCACTCTGGTGTTAGATTACATTTGAAAACACTTAAATAATCTTGTTGTTTTATATCGATTATGGTTATTATTAAAAATTATTACTCTTATGAATGGGGATTCGATATTTTTATTTTACTCTATTGCTACGTTATTCTTAAACAAAATATTACAAAAACAAATATAGTTCCTAATAACAACAAGAGTACACACATTTAAAAGTGCAGAATAAAAGTTTATATTAGTGAAGTAGTTTTTAGTTTATTTTGACATATTCAGTGTAGAAAAGTTTGTGTCAATTAATCATTCGGTGGAAATTAATGTTGATACATTAGCAAAAATATTCATATTTTTAATTTTGTTCTTAAAAATAAAGTTTTTAATATATAACATTGAATATATAAAATCATATATTATAAAATTAATACTTTTTTTTAGATTATGAGTGAAATCAGAAATGCATTGGTTTTATCATAAAATGTTTTTTTTTTTATTATTTTTTGCCACCTGTGTACACTGTACACGCTTTTCACCTTTTATTTTTGATCAATACAATCACAAAAGTTTTCTGATAAGAAAAAGTAGCTATTTAGTCTTTAAAAGAGGTAATTTTTTTAATTTCTAAACAGTTTTCCGAATAACAAAAAATGATAATTTTCAAAATATTTGAATGGAATATTGTGCTCATTATAAAAACTTGGAATTTTCGATTAAAAGTTAAACCTACCTTATTAAAAAGTATATTCTACTAAGTGCTACATCAACCATCTATAAAAATATAAGCTGATCCACCGATCTCTTTCACTTAGAATCATATTTTCTTAAAAAGTCGGTTTTAAGTTTCCAGAACCAATACATAAACGTCCTTGTATCACACCCGACCGTGAAGTATCACCCGTTATGTTTATAAATATTTATATAAGTAAAAATCAAATTATTTTTATATTCACATTTTTTTGGTAGTAAAATATATATTGGTATATTTAGAATACAACTTTAATTTAAATTTCCAAATTTAACTTAGTGATACATTTATTCCTCACAGTATATAATTTCATGTTTTTAAAACAATAACTATATAATCGATAAAATTTATTGTATATTTATGGTAAACATTTTTTTTATTGTGATGCAAATAGTACAAATTATTTTTACGGTGAAATACATAATTAAATCGTCATTAATAACTAATAAACTAATTCAAGTAATTCACTAACCAATGTGATAAAGCAGTCCAGCCGGTTGTTTAGTTTTGAAGTGTAAAACGAACGAATCACCTTCGGTATTTCCTTGGAATGCGTATTTCAAAAATTCCTCGCCGGTAAACGAAGCTTCTGCCATTATTTTGTCTGTAATAAAAAGCAAATAAATATAAATCAATATTATAACTGTTTAATAAAAAATTGTATTTAAAAAAAAAAAAGGCAATATATACTTTGCACATGTTACGACGGAGGAATTACTTTCCCTATTTTCGACGAAACCCGGATGTTTGTTTAAATCACTATCAAGCCTATTATAACCAATGACAGAACAATGGGGTGGATGATGGGGATTTATTCTCGGGCATAATATTTTAAAGGGTGTAATTTTTGTAATTATTAACAACTAATTTGATATTCTTTAACTTTGTTAAATATTAATATTATGTTATAACTCAATAAGTATGATTGTATATAAATTATTCGAAAAAAATTCTCGAGAAGAGTATTTGATTATTTGGTCTACGGTAGAGCGTAATTTTAACATTTACCCCAGGCGTAAAAATTCCTAGTTCCACCTCTGATTATAACTATTATATTATGAAGACGGCCCTGGAGCTATATTTTACACTCGTGGACAGTTGGGCATTATTTTTTATCATGGTGTCGGTGTATATAAAATTATTCCATGAAAATGAAATGTATTCTCTTGTTGCACAGTAGGTACTACACTCAATATAAATATTTTAGGGCGTTACAAAGACTACTTAAGATCAAAAGATAACCGTTTGAAGTTAAGAGCATTCTTAGTCCTAGAAAAACAATGGTATGTTTTATGTAATTAAACTAGATGAATTAGTTTTCTCGTTTTAATTACTTTATTTTTATTTTTTCGGCATAATTTATTTATTTATTTATTTTATTTTTTTTTGTAATGGAATCGCATAAAAGTACAGTGAAATCTTCAAATACATTTTTTTTGTTTTTTATTCATAACAATATAGATGTATTTTATCATATATTTATAGAATGGAAGAATTCAACTTATTTATCTAAATCATTGCTGTCGAAATGCTTTGTATTTACAGGATTTTTTTTTTTAAATATGAGGACCAATTATTTTAAAACTTATAACATGCTCAATAAAATATATATTTAAGAATGTATTAACTGTAACATTTTTATAACACACATGATTTTAATTATTGTTACTAACGTATTCATGTGTAAAATTTCATCTGGTACATTGTGTTGTAATTCATCTACAAAATAATTATGTGTTTGTAGATTTTATATGCATTTATAAGTGTTATAAACATATGGATCAAGATCTATAAGACTTTTAAAAGATTCTAGACTTTTTTATCAGATCAAATAATAAAATATATTATGCTATATATATATATATATATACAGGCGCGTACAAAAAAAAATATTTTGGGAGGGGTTTTAGGTTGTACATTTTCATAATAATATAATCTATATACCAATTTTACTATATAAAAACTTATTTAATATCATTTTCCTGAAATTCGGGAGGGGTTTGAACCCCTAAAACCTCCCCTTGTGTACGCACCTGTATATATATAAATATATCGTAAATGAAAAGTTGAGTAAATGTTAAACTAAGCTAAATACAAACATTGGAAACAATGACATAATTAAAATAAAATACATTAATCATAATCAATGCAATGGATGTTGAAAGTGCTTCTTTATATAAAAGTTAAACAATTCATTATAACAAATAATTTTAAATAACATTATATATACCGTGTATTAAGGCTTAATTGTGTCATCAAACTTAAGGCTGATCCTACAATTTTAAAAAGCGTACGTGTTTGGTTTTAGCTTTAATAATGGTCACATAGTTATGTAAGAAAGAACATTATAGATATTCATTTTTATAACATAGCCATGTAAAATATTTGCTATGATAATATATCACAAGAGATCTAAATTAACTGGTTTGATTCAAAATTATTTCCAATATAACTTGATTATTTGGCAATGTACAATATCTTTAGCGTAAATCATAAATTATTCGCAAAAATTTAAAGAACACATTAATTTTTAAATTGGTTATAAAGTTTTCAATATTTAAAATGACTGTTATATTTTATTTCGTTTGCTTAATAGGAATACTAATCACAAAAGAATTGGACTGAAAAAAAGTAAAAACAAAATAAGTTCACTTATATATAAAGTAGTTGAATATTTAAAAATAAATCAAAAGTTCTAAGGCCAAAGAAAGTCATTAAAAGCCAAATTTAATTTAATTGAAACAATAAAGGACTTATATTTTTAATCATAAGTTAGAAGAAAAACATGCTCGAATAACTGATTGAACGTCAATTTATTCATAATAACAACAAAAGTTTTAATTTTATATTTTAAATAATACTTAGCTACATAATTTGAAAAAAAAATTACAATTACCGTATTTATACCAAAGAAACAAGATTATAAAAGTGTTGTTCCTATGAAACTTATGAACATATTTTTTTTAACGTATTGATAAATTATTTTTGTTTATTACATACGTTCAAATTTAAAATGTAATTGTACTAGTAACTATAAGTCGTTATATACATATTATATAGTATGCATGTCTACTGATATAACAGTTGTTTTTCTAAAAAATGTAATAACATCGAAAGGAACATTAAAGTAGATTTAATCTAGCATAACGAAAATAACAAAATAAATAAAAATAAGAGTGTATTTAGTTTGATTACAATAATGATGTTTTGAGTTTTTTTGGTGCAATATGATTGCAGTGATAGACAGCTACTATAAAGATATAAAAAAAATAAAAAATCAGAGTACTCGTGTACGTGTAACTACCGTATTTATATATATTTAGGTCATATACGATATACATATAGTATTATACGAGTGTAAATAAAAAATAATTCTCTCAGTTCACTCCTATACCAATTTCAAATTAATAACCTTACCTGGTCATGACTGATCTTAATGATTGCCTTTTACGATCGTAATAAAGAAAAAAAAATTCCTAGACTTTCAGCTTTTACATACTATTAAAAAAACGTCATTATTTTAATGATTAGAAATATTTATTAATAAAACTTAGAAATTAAGTTTTCATCGGATTATTATTTATGCATTTTCATAAGTTTAGATTAGTGAAAAGTAATTTATAGATAATTTGTTTATCAGAGATTTTTCACGTTTATTGCTTAATTATTATTCTATGACAGAAACTTAAGACTTATTATAAAACTTATGACAATAGCACAAAAATATATTTGCAAATATGTAAATAAACATCATTGAATAATTAAAATCTATATTTATTTAGTAGGGCATACCAAATTATTGATAATGAAATTGACTTGAAATTTACATTTACTTTATTTCATATTATAACTTATAAAACGATATTCATTGAATCTTTATTTGAATGGCATACAGATTGGTGAGAACAAAATAAAACTTTTTAAATATCAATGAAATAATTGAATTTTGTTCTTACTTTAATATGAAAAAATGTATTCTTTAGTTGAATTTTCAAGTAGTTAATATTTTTCACGTATTATTTACATCATATTCCAATAGCATACAATAAAATAAAATAAAATGATGTGAACGATCAATTATTATTAACTGGAAAGTTGTTCTTTTTTTTTTTAATAGTAAAATCGCACAAAATGTATATATTAAGTAGTTTTACAATCAAACAATCAACTTTAATTTTTTAATTAAATGTTATATGAAGTTAATGCATTTATAGTTTATGATGCGTTTTGATATATAAATATATATATACATATCTTGAAGTTGATCCGTGCAGTCATTTAAATTATATTGCATATTATATTTCACTATTTCATATTGTTGACATTTAACACTTTGCAATCAACATTTATATTTATACATATAAATTGTATCAAATATTATATATTTAAAATTAATTAATACATAATATTTGATAAGTGAACATATGAAGTGCATAAAGTTGAATATTATATGTGGATACATACTGCACGTCCGCACTTTTATATCATTTGTAAACTTTATTTTTAATTGTAATAAAAAGAATATAAGTTTAATGCGATTATAATTTTAACTATATGATAAATTTACGAAAGATAAATTTACGTCTACAGTTGAATTCAATAGTAAGTTAATTAATTAATTTTTTTGAATTTAATTTATTTCGAAACTAATTTAATTAGTTTTTACCTAATGTATTGAATTCAAATTTACTCACACTATTTAAAAATTAAAATAAATAAAATTGATAGGAATCATAGATTTTAGACATTTAATTATTTTAATTAATTTATATTGCAGAGTAAACCAATTGTATAAAACGATGTATTTGAATGTACGAAAATACATCAAAAAATTGAAATGGGAAAAGTATTCGTGGAAAACGTATGCGAATCTGATTAACCATAAATTACTCCTTTCTCTCTTGTGTGGAGAATTCATCTTTGCGAATTCTCGTCGTCTTACTTTAACCTACCTACGCTAAGTCAGTTTGACAACTTTGATTTGAACTTTATTCTTAAGCAGATACTTGATACCATGCAGCTTTAGAGTATTAACAGCATTGCAGTGTTTTCAATTTTAAAATTACAGTTAAGTAAAGTATTATCTGTATCTTAACAAGGCTTACGGGTACGTACCACTACGCATCGATAAATCTCATAATCTCATTAATACATTTTTTACCGTAAAACATTGGTCTCCGCATTATGTTATCTAAATAATTTAGTATTTTTACTCTATAGACACATACACATACACATATACACACATCGAAAGACCAACGAAAACTATTTATATATTTACAGTTTTCCATCGTTTCGTAGACCGTAACGTATAGTAAATACGGAACGTTGCCACATTAAATAAAAGTGCCCGTAGTTCTCATTTCAATCATATTAGAAGTTGAAAAAAATGATATTTGTACGAACACAATAATGAAAAGTTCATCTGCTATCGTATTGATCTACAGTAGCAGCATCGTAACGGTTTGGAACAATATAAAAATGTCTTCCAAACACGTTTTTGCGTCATATTGTACAAGAACGGTCTATGTAAAAACCGACAGCATGTCGATACGTACATGCTACGGCGGCGATAGTATCGTAAGCGAATTCGTTTTACATTAT